ATCGACTCAAGCAAACTTATTTACCAATATACAGGGTGTAACAAAACTATCACACCCACTCTACAACTTAAAATATAAATGTTATCACACAGCATTTTATATCAAATTAATGCTTATCAAAAACTGGATTTGTGAGTTATCAGTGGACGCAGTTTTTGACGAAGATCACGATTTCAATATTGTTTCTGTTGAAAAATGTAATAAAAAGGGGAAAATTGCAATATACGAGCCGGTTTGGGCATAAAAATGCGATACATTTTATAATATCGAGTCTATAAAAGAACTATCATGCCACATCGCCGGCTTAATTTGTAAATGATAGAGTTTCCAATTTATTAGAAAAATAAATTTCTAACAAATGTACATTTATAAAAAGCTTTTTAGCAAGGATGGGTGACGGTTTCTATAGAAATCAACCCAATTGAATTTTAATGGTTGCTTCGTATAGAAATGAAGAGCATGTTGATAGAAACTATGCTTTGTATTTTTTTAAATGATTTAAGTGGGTATTTACAAACTCAGAACCCGATAACGTTTTCAATTTCCTATGTATTATATGGGAGAACCCTGACTAGCAAATTCTATACATGTTCGTCGACATATATACTTATTAGTTAATGCAAACTAAACGAATTATATGCAAATAGATAGTCCGTAAAAGATACTACAACAATCTATATAACAATCGTTTGCTGGAAATGATGAAAAACAAATTTCATTGAAATACTTGCTGACTCCCATTAAAATATGACGCTAACACCTGGTATAAACTGCCATATGCATAGGGACACAGTTTGTTCACTCTGAGTTTTATACCAATCGATAGAGTTTTTCATGCGCTATAAATTCATGTAAAATTTGTCAAGAAAAAAGTTGCGTATATATTTGATACCATTGCACGGTATCTGTCATTTGCACTAATGTCTTCGATATTTTTTGCCCAAGTTCTGTCATTTTGGTGGTTTAGCTTTGTGATCACATAAATATAAAATTCATCCAAAGATGCACTATTCAGAGGGTGTGAGTTTGTGTTGATCATCACTTTAAGAACACTCACCCACATCCCACACCCTCTGTGGAATAGAAAAGTGGCATCTTTTTTTGCGTCAAAGTTTTCGTCTTCAGTGCCGTGTCCCTTCATGTCAGACTAAGAGTTTGAGTAAAAATACTGCTTACCGCTCAGGGTAAAAAGATATCATCGAACAAAATTTTTATTCTAAAACCTAACGGGGAAAAAACTGAAATTTGTCGAGTATAATTGAATGCTCTTTCAGTCCAGATAGTCTAAATCTAAAAAACGTAGTCTGCGGCAGGTACTACGAACGTTACGCAGTTTTCTCATGGAATCTCTCTGAAGATTACTGCATGATCTACAAATAGATCTCACACGTATTAATGATGAAAAATATTGTGCTGGTTTGCTTGTTATCTGTAGTTGACGGATATCCACTGTCAAGTGCAGCTAATACAGGTAAACATATAAGACAGACACGAAAAGTTCGTGTGACTATAATAAATAAAACGAGTAGTATCCTGCAGTGATAGGAGTCATTTAGTTATCATTCTAGTAAATTGAGTATGTTCAGTTCCAACCCGTTAGTCACTCCAGAACATTTAAAGCACTTTGATCAACATGAGTATGTATTCACTTTGGTGCTTTCGGAAAGTCTCAAATAAGTACCCTTTTAGTTGCTTCATTTTACCCTCAATTATGCCGCCTGAACATATTGCCATTATGACAAGTGTGGCTGACCACACCATTGCAGATCATGACAAGTTCATATCACCTATTTCGAATAATTCAGAAGAAACAGCTAAAGAGGATGACCTTATAACATGTTCAGCGGATGGCAAGTATTTTTTTTTCTTTATGCACGAGGACGAGGAACCAGAGATGAATAAAATCATCTTCAGCAAGTATTTGAAACAAATAGTCAGAGGGATTAGTAGAATTCAGTTTGTGATTGCGAAAAATCACTTTATTTATTAATTTTCAGCCGTGTTAGGTGACACTATTTATTATACTCACTTGAAAATTGTAGTGAAACGAGGGGAGAGAAACAAAGATGCTACTAGAAGAACAGCTTTCGCTTGGCATCAAGATAGTGGATATGTACCATATCAACATACGCCTTATCTCAGTTGTTGGTGTGCACTAACTGAAATAACGGCCATAAATGGTATGATTTCCGTGCTAACCATCGAAAAAACCCCACCAGGGGATGAAATCCATCCCATAAATTGGCCCACCAAGCCATGACCATCTGCATTAGTCGAGTTTCCTTGTTTTCACTACCGAAAAGACAAAAAAGTGCAGATTTGTTTGGATATTCAGGCAATGATCCAGGGGACCAAGTTATATGCCCAGCAGGAAGTATGATCGTATTTTTCACTTTGACATTGCGTTGTTCTTCGCCGAACCGGAGCAATTCTCTTCGTTCAGTGTTCACTGTGCAATATGCTCCTGTGCCCTTGATGAGCGAAGATCAACAGCCGTTTCGACATAAAGCACATCCATTCATTGTTCAATCCGAAATGGCTGATGGTATCAAAATATGGCAAAAATAACTGTGAGCAGGACAATGTTAGAGGTCCTGGTTGGACCAGTACTCACTCGAATGCGCTTGTTTTGCTCAGCCACAAGACGAAATCATTAGTCACATACAAAACAATGCTTTGGATCTTTTTTTTTTTAATAAATGATCCTTAACAAACTCTAGCGATGTCTTTTCTACAAATGAGCTCATAGACATGGACTTCAGTGTTCAACTATATAAGATGGTTCCGGTTGTTCATGCTTGAAACCAAGAAAAAAACTGATTACTTGGTTATTTTGGTTACCACTGGTATTCAGTGAATAATGTTTGAATGGCCTCATGAAACGTGCTTCTCTGCGGGTGTCGGCGTGGAATGTGGATGTTGGTGTGGGTTAGCGTGAGTAGGGCTATCGATGTGAGTATGGGTTTATGTGTGGTTGTGGCTCTATGCTACGTGATTGTTGGCGTTAGCGCAATCTTACTGCTTACTCAAATCACGACAGCAGCACTGGCACCCACGCCCATATCAGCTATATTTAGAACGTATCTGCTGGAAGATCGATTTATGTCTGAGAGTTAAATGCAGGTAAATGCCCATAAAGCTATGTATATGTCTCAAATAGATCCGCTAAAAGAAAAATGATCCATCGAGAGATCATTTAATGCTATGGAATTTTCGTGACAACCTCTGTGATATAATAATATTTTTAGAATAAAGCCACCAGAAAAAAATTAATCCAACGATAAATCTTACAAAAGATATCATACTTTCATGCTATAAGACAAAAAAAATGTATTTCGAAACTTTAAAAAGATACAATAAATTCCAAAAGAAATGAGTCTTGGTAATCCTTGGAACTAATCAAGGCTTTCAACTCAGCAAGTCAAAAGTGATCGCCATTAGCTTGATGATGTCCCATAATACCAGCGGAGGATACGATATAGGAAAAAGTGCCCCTGCGGTAGAGCACATATAACACGAAATTAAGAATGGTGAAAACTCCGAATATGATAAATAGTCCACTAGTCTCGAATACTGTCAGTCCATCACTGTCATTCTTCAGCTCATTATCGTTTTTGACATTACAGTCTTTTTGTTGATAGTACATGGCTAATAGACGATCAATGCCACCATTCGTTCTCAGTTCTAGTATATGTGCATCCAAATCTTGTTTGTAAGACCATTGCTTTGGTAAAGCCACGCCAAAGTGTGTCTTACCGAATGGTGCACCAGCTAACTCTAATTGACAATACTCTTTTTGAGTCGCATATTCTGCGCTACAACTATCAGCTATGGCAACGTCAATATGTCCATCTATGAGCTTTGTAAAACATTCCTTTGGATTTTTCAAATGATAATAATTCATCTGAATATTCTGTGTCACTTCCTTCGTAAAATATTCTTCGTGCTGCGAACGTTCAATAACACCTATACGATTGCAATCAACTTTGCGACACATTTTCAAATCATCGATACTTTGTAGCCATGGTTGTTCTCGTTGTACTGTGAAGTAGGTTGTCAAATTGCTAGTAAGAAGCGCTATTATTACAATACTCATTAGCCAAACAATAACGGTTTGATTGCGACTGAATCGGCTTTTCACTTGCAATTCAGAATCTCTTTGTACTAGAGCACCAATGGTATGGTACAAAGATCTGGCGAATCTCACTATGAATGACCTATGATACACGCCACTGCTCTTTTCATGGTATTCATACAGTCCAATGAGTAGTGCTGATGGAAAATATATAACACCGATGATCATCAGCCAGAGCACAAGTGAAAACGGCTTCAAGAATGCAATTGGACTGATTCTCTTTTCTTTACTTTTACGTACAACCAGCCGCAGTGTATTGTCATAAATCGAGGCACTAAAATCGATTTTGGCGACACGAGTTGGAGTTATAGCTAGATCAGCCATAACGATTTCACACGTGCGATTTTTCACACATTCGACTAATTCATCATAGGTGGTGTTGCTTGGTGCAATGATGTATCGATAGTTGAATCCCATTCTTTCTTTCAGTAACAAAAGTAACTCATGGATATATCCTTCATATAAAGGCTGACCATAAATATCAGAAGACGATCTCCGCATAAAAAATGGGGATGATATGTAAACGGTGATGTTGAGTGTTTTGCCTAAAACGAGTCCAGAAGCATATCAATGATTCAAATAAATTAAAACATTTCTTTCAGAGAACAGAGCCTGCAAGTCTATTTAACGATACTTAAGAAAAACTTTCTCGATCCGATAGTCTACACAAGTGTAATCTTGTTACAGATTGGAATTCAAGTTGCGTACTAGAATGAAAGTGCTTAGTTTAGTGAACACACCACTGCCTTGATATATAGTTTCTGTAAACTTATCTACTAATTTCTTTTAGCTTGTTTTCTGTCACACGATTCGCAAAGAAAGAAAACGAAACATTCTGCATTAGTCTTTCAGATCTCATGCTAACTTAGCTTGCGAAGTTCTTTCTCTTTGATCTACCTTTTAGAAGTGGATAATCAGTTGGTACGTTATTCCAACTCCTAGGCCATTGGATACGATTTCCGGTAGTTGTCCACACAGCTGTATTATTATTATGAATGATACTTAGTCCAATACCATTAAGTCTTAAAACTTCTACAAGTTGTAATCTGTTAGAGTTAGCGCTTGACAACTGTACATTGTCGATCACATAGTGTGCACCTGTACTATCAACACGATCAGTTCTATTCGAGCCAAACTGCACCAGTCCTGTGAGGCCAGTAAAGTTCATTGTTTGTAGAATTTGATGAAGTTCATTGCGTGCAGCCAAATGACTACTGAAGCAATTGGATCTGTTCTTGAATGAAAGACAGGTTGTAGAATTCTTTTGGCAAAGTTCTTGAAATGCCAAGATTAGTAGCCATGCAGCGTCAAATGCATACAATGCATAGATATCTAGATGCCCTTCATTCGCATGAAACGAATCAGGATCGTACTGTTTCCAAATATTGAGAGCTTTATTTAACGCATCTGTGTCTGTTGATATATTAAATGTCTGCGGAGATACTAGTCGTAAAATTAGCATTCCTTTTAGCTGATTTACATTCGGATTGTCAAGAATGTTCATCGTTGAGTTACTTGCTGTCAATATCCAGAGAAAGGATGGAGCTAACACATCACCTACTTTCAGTGCCAAATCTATGACTTTTGTTGTTACGTTTGTAATAGCCATAACGATCACTATACGTGATGGACTGTCTTCTAGCTGAAATTGCAGATTCTCAATATGATCTGTGAATAAATTAAATCTAATTGAACGTGCGATTTTTACTTCATCATTGAATACTTCATTTAAAGCCTGAAGTCCACCTTGGCCAAAGCTATCTGCCTGATAGATGACATTTGTGGAATTCCATTTATATTTTTGAAATAATTTCAGCAGTGCTCGTGCTTTGATAACATCAGACGGCGGCAGTCGATAGAAGGTCTTATAGGCATTACGATCTGAGAGTTCAGGCTCCGTTGTAGAGTAGCCTACTACAGGCAAGCCTGATCGGTTGCCAAAACGTGCTAGTGTTTTTGCTTCCGTTGAATACTCAGGTCCAACAATTCCAAATACTTCATCTTCAGCGATAGCAATACACGTACGATCAAGTGCTTCGATTATATCACGACCACTTGTCTCTTCTACACGGTACGCAATGTGCTTCCCATTTATAGTAATATTCGACTGTTGTGCTAGTAGAATAGCAGCTCGAAAGAGAGCAGGTTCTGCCGACGTTTGAAAATGCTTTGTAAGTGTCGTTTTAGATCGTTGTTGCAGAAACAAACGCAATAAATAAATGTATGAGTTGTTTTCATTTGTAAATGAAGGCCATGTTGAACAGGGGGAATGGCACTTGGGATGAAATTGTTGTGATTCTAATTTCTCACGCGTTCCTTTAGAAGGATTGCAATAAAGGATGACTAATAATATCAAAAATACTACTCTGAAGTGTGTCGTAGCAGACATGTTAAAATGAAGTGTCTGTGTTCTTTTGTTGGAGCTATTTTTATATACTTTCAGAGAAAAACTCAATCACCTCTGAAACAAAGTCATTTATTGATTTTAGTCGGAAATGATAAGAACCAAATGAACATATAAGAGTGTAAAATTGATAACGTATCACACAGATAAAAGTAAGAGGAAGTGAGACTAATTTTTCCAAGTTGAAAAAGTTGTCATACAGAACTGACTGTTTCAGAATATTAATTCCACAATGTTATTGCACAATATATGAGTGCTAGTGAATTTCACAGAAAAGAGACGCTAAATTTAGAAAACAAATAACTGAATATTACCCTACTGTCTCTTTCATGCATCAAGGTTTGTGAAAGGATCAATATAGCATAGTGCACTCTGATCAATTTTTTTTGGAAAGTTAGTCAAAGACACTACTACCCAGAAACAACAACGATTTCATTTATTACCGTGTAGAATTTTCTTGCCAAACTTGATTTCTTTTCTGCACAGTAGACTCATTGAATCGTTTCACAGATATTTTCCCCTTCTCGAAGAGCTGTTTTGGATAACGTATTTCTTAAATAATTGATTCCTCGAAGTATTAGTGAACAATGAAACTTTTCTTAATTTCATGAGAGTCTACCTATGATAAGAGGTTGAAACTAAATAATTGTAACATATTGTGTGACATTTATTATTTAGTGTTAAAACGTTTCGAACAGTGTTCTTACACGTAAAGATCAATCGAGCTATTTTAACATGTGAAATTTTGTCCTCTTTTTTCCAGTAGCACGCGTTCGCAGGAGTCATAATAGGGCGAACCGTAGAAAGCATAGACGGTTTGTGCATAAGAGCTGTTCCATCTAAGCTGCGATTTAGCTAAGGAAGACGTGTTCAATGAGTAATCTTCGACTCGA